CTCCTCCTCCTCCTCCTCCTCCTCCTCCTCCTCCTCCTCCCAGGTCGGCCACCCCGCCCAAATCGCCGCCGTAGGGTCCGCAGCCTCGTCGCGGGTGACTCTTCTCTCGCGGCCCCCGGTCCGGCCTGTCTGCTTGCGGTTGCTTCCCCTCCCCTCCTCCTTGTCCTCCTCCTCCCTCCCCTTCTGCTCGTTGCTTCCCTCTCTTTCCTTTCTTCCTGTTTCCTGCCTGCCGTCTCCGCCTGGCCTCTCTTCTGCCTGCCCGCCCGCCCCGCCGGCCTTGGACCCCCGCCTGCGCATTCGTCGTCGTCTTCCTGCTTCTCCCCTCCTCGCCCCCTTCGGCCAGGCAGCGCAGCCTGCCCGGGACCAGCGTGGCGGCATGTAGGGTTTCGGCCGGGGGGCCTGTAAGAATGCCAGTTAGTAGCCGTCTGTAGGGCGGCGGTGCGAGCCACATGTTCTAAGAGGCAGCTTGTGAGCTGGGAGGGCTGCCTCGTCCTGATTGCATATGCAAGGCGCCCCAACAGAACTAGAGGGTGTTATTATATCCTAGGCCTCCTCCTCCTCCTCCTCCTCCTCCTCCTCCTCCTCCTCCTCTTCCTCCTCCTCCTCCTCCTCTTCCAGTCCGTCGCAAATTTGGCTCAAAGCACCTCTCGCGTGCGGGGGGGCAGCGCGGCGGAAGTGCTCCACATGTGCAGAGGCCTTCCATGCACGACGGCGGCTGGCGCTGGGCCCCGCGCCGAGGGTGCGGGCCCAGCGCTCGCCGAAGAGGCCCGCGCGGACCTCCGAGAGCGCGTGTTCGCGCAGTGTTTTTGTTGCTGGCGTGCCCCAGGGACACAGGGCGGCTCTTGGAGGAGGCCCCACGCTTCTCCTTCCCAAGCTAAGGCTCATCCACGCTCGAACGCACGCTACACGGCGGCTCTGCGAGGAGGCACCGAACTTTTCCTTCCCAAGGTTCGACTCGTCCACGCGCGAAGGCACGCTGAACTCTGGGGTGCATCCCGTGGTGCATCCTGCGGCGGCCATTCCGTCCAGGGCGTGCCCATGGGATCGCGCCTGGGACTGGCGACCGTTGCTCGCTCGTGATTTTCCTGCCTCATCCCTCCTGCACGGGCCTCGCCCCGCCCCGCCGACTGTTCCCTGGCACGGGGGTGCCTCCGCCGCCCACCGGCAGAACGACAGCCCCGGGCAGTCGTCGGTGCGTGGGCTTCCTGGAGGTCCAATCTGTGGGAAGCCTGCAGACCCTCGTTGACTGGCCCCTTCCCGAGCGCCCATGGGTTCCCCATATTTTGCAGGCCTGCGAGCCCGACCCCGCACCTCGCCGCACAGCGCGGCGTTGCCGCTCCAGGGCTCGCCGCCGGCGCGGCCGCCACGACGACGACTTGGCGCGGCCGCCCTGCCCGCGGCCCCGCCTGCGGGGGGCCCGCGCGGCCTCGGCGGTCTTGCCCCTGGGGCTCGCTGCCCCGCGAGGAGGCCCGCGGTGCTCCAGGGCGCGCGCGCGTCGCTGCCAGAGGGGGTGGGCGCGCAGAGGGCGCGCAGACAGCGCGGAGACCGGCGGGAGCAGCGCGGCCCGGGGCAGCGCGGCGCGGGGCGCGGAGGGTGGCGGGCGAAGGCTGCACTGGTACTCCTGCCCGCAGGGCCGCTCTTGCGTGCCAGCCGGCCGGAGGTCTGCGGGGGCTCTCGCAGGTGACCACGGGCGCCGGGAGGCAGAGGACAGGACAGACCGTCCGAGAGCCTCGATCCTCGATCCCCCTTGCCCTCCTCTCTCCTCCTCCGCTCCTCTTCCTCCTCCTCCTCCTCCGTCTTTTCTCTTCTTCTTCTTCTTCTTCTTCTTCCTCCTCCTTCTCCTTCATCTTTCCGCTTCGTCTTCCTCTCCTCCTCTCCTCCTCCCCTACTCCCTCCCCCTCCTCCCTCCCCCTCCCTGGTCACCAGTTGGGCCAGAGGTGCTGACGTTCGGCTCTGGCATCCGGTGCGAGCTTGCAGGCTTTGGATGCGTGCCGCGCTTGCTGGCGGCTGTTGGCGACTATGCTGAAGCAACAGTTGCTAAGCAACATATGATTGACCCGTCCGAGAAGGATGCTGTCACTGGCTGTCATCGGGGGAAGAAGGTGGTTGAGAAGATTGGGTCGGGGACGGTCTGAGCTGTGGGTGTCGCTCCGCCTTTTCCTTCCTCCTCCCTTTCTCCTCTGCCCCCGCCTCTTCCTCAGACTTATATTGCTTTCGAAGCGGTGAAGGGCAGGCCAGCAAAAGCCAAGAGCCTTAGGAACCGAAAAGACAGTAAGTAATTCGGCGAAGGACCATGCCATCAGAAGCAGCCGTACCTCAGGGACCGACTGGTACGGAGTGCGCCGCTATCTGGTGGAGACTCAGGCTCCGACGTGCGCGAACGTGCCAGCCAACGTGCTGTCCCACGCTCCGCATGCCAAACGTTGAGGATGGGGTCAAGCAGTTGCAACCCCATCTGCGCATTTGTGTTCTCGCAAAGCTGTCGCAGCCGATGTGCAGCAGGTCATGTCCTGTGTGTTCTCTTCGTTTCGCACATCCTCCTCCATGTCACAATATGGGCTCCAGCAGGAAAGCCAGGTCTCATCGCTCCGACCTGTGGTGAGAGTTCTCGGCCGAACCAGAACCGAGCCAGCTCATCCTCCTCCTCCTCTTCTTCTCTCCTCTCCTCCTCCCCCTTCCTTCTCCCTCCTCCTGCTCCCATCTTCTTCTTCTTCTTCTTCTTCCGCGTTTCTCGTCCTCCTCCTCCTCCTCCTTCCTTTCTCCGTGTCCTCCACTTTCTCTTCCGCCGACGACGACGACGACAACGACGACGACGACGACGACTGCGACGGCGGCGGCGGCGAATAGGATGAGGAGGAGGAGGAGGAGCAGGAGGAGGAGGAGGAGGAGGACGGCCAGTGCAAACCCCAAGACTCATCAACAATGTTGTTTTTTTATCCTCCTTCCAAGCTCCCTCTTCACAGGCCCCTACAACGATTCATTTCCACTGAGGGACTTGCCCCGTTGGGAGAAAATCGTTTGAAGATTTTGAAGCGTGCCAGAACACCATTCTGGGAACTCGACCGCCACGAATCAACTTGACGGTCGCGTCTTGACGATCTTGAATCCCGCCAGAACGCCGTTCCTGGAACTTCAACACCACGAATCAACGTACCTGTTGCGCCCTGACAACCCTGAATCGTTTACCATGGGAATCCGTGAAACACTAATACGCGGCGCTAAGGCGAGAACCACATGTTGAAAAGGAACCGCAGTCAATCCGTGAAATTCTTGCAAAGTTGTTAGACGAGTGTGCGCGGCGCTAAGGCGAGAGCCACATTGTGAAAACCGCCCGCCCTCAATCCGTGAAGCTCTTGTGAATTTCTAAGACGAGTATGCGTGGCGCAAATGCGAGAGCCACATGTTCAAGAACTGCCCGCCCTCAATCCGTGAAGCTCTTGCAAATGTGTAGAGCGAGCGCGCGTGGCGTTGAAGCGAGAGCCACATATTGAAAACCGCCCGCCCTCAATCTGCGAAGCCCTTGCAATGTTTAAAACGAATGTGCGCGGCGTAAAGGCGAGAGCCACATTTTATCCGTAAGTGCTTCGCCCCCTGCCGCCGGCCCCCTCTCTCGGATAATTGGCTACGCAAGAGCTAAATCATGAGGCCCCGGCGCCGCCGTGAAGCAGCGTCGGCAAGAGAAATTGAGATTCTGATGATATTGTTGAACTCAGCGTTACATTTTGAACCTGCCTCCGTATGCTGTGCACTGAGGTTTCCCGCCGAATTTCAGAAATGTGGCAAATCCCATTGGTTTTTCGACCCTGACCCTGCTGATCTGCGTTAGGGGTGCCGCCGAATTTCAGAAAGACCCTGACCCCGCCGATCTGCGTGAGGGGTGCAGTCGAATTTCAGAAATGTGGCTAATCTTGAGTAATTTAAGCGTAAGTTTTAGAAAAGCGTAATTTCAATGTAATTTACAAGGGTTAATGGCTTCAGAGACGCGACTACAGTGTAAGTTACAAGGGTTTATGGCTTCGGATACGCGAATAGTGCGTAATGTATAGGGTGTATGGCTTCGGGGTCGCAGATATAATACAATTTACGCAGGTTTATGGTTTCGGAGATGCGAATATTGTATACTGTACGAGGACTTATGGCTTCGGGCACGCGATTATTCTATAATCTACCCGGGTGTATGGCTTCAGGGACGCGATTTTTGTTAGATTTGCGAGCGTCCGTGGCCTCGGGGACGCAAGCATTGCTTAATTTACGAGGGTTGATGGCTTCGGGGATACGAGCATGGAGTATGTTGCAATGGTTTATGGTTTCGGGTGCGCGAACATTGCGTAATTCACGAGGGCTTATGGCCTCGGGGACACGAATATGGAGTATTATGCAAGGGTGTATGGTTTCAGAGACGCGAATATGGTGTAATTCACGAGGGTGTATGGCCTCGGGGATGCGAACATTGCGTAATTTACGATGGTGAATGGCTTCGGGTGCGCCCCCAGAAATTCTGAGAACCCTCCCAGGAGACGCTAACCAGGGCACTTTTCGGCTCCCCCCCCATCGCGCGGTCCATCAACAAGGAACAGTAAGCAGCAAGAAGCAGGAAACTGGAAACTGGAACTGGTGCAGAGAACTGGTCCTACAGCCTGGTGGCCCCATAAGGGGGCCAGCGGATCACGTTTTGAAAGCCACCCGCCTTCAATATGTGAAAAGTGTTGCCAATTGATCAGCTCCAGGGCCATAAATGGTGAGGAAGTCTCAAGCGAAACGCCCAGCCCGCCCTTTCGACCGGCCTCGGGGGGCGACAGGGAGGAGTTAACCATAACGAAGGAATGATGGAGGGGGAGGGGGAGGAGGAGGAGGAGGAGGAGGAGGAGGAGGAGGAGGAGGAGGAGGAGGAGGAGGAGGAGGAGGAGGAGGAGGAAGGAGGAGGAGGAGGAGAGAGGAGAGGAGGAGGAGGAGGAAGAGGAGGAGGAGGAGGAGGAGGAGGACGGCTGCCGACCGCGAAGTCCGTCACTTGCGAGCGGGCCTTCCTTGCCGCCTTGGACGGCAACTGCAAGACGCCGATCGCGGGGCAGGCCCGCGTCGAGGGCGGGCAGCTGCTCTTCGAGGCCGTTCCGCCCCCTGCAGTCGCCGCCGCCGTCGTCGTCGTCGGAGTCGGAGTCGGAGTCCGAGTCGGAGTCGGAGTCGGAGTCGGAGTCGTCGTCGTCTTCATCGTCGTCGTCGTCGTCGTCGTCGTCGTCCCCGTCCTCGCCGTTCTCCCCATCCTGAGGAGGAGGAGGAGGAGGAGGAGGAGGAGGAGGAGGAGGGAGGAGGAGGAGGAGGAGAAGGAGGAGGAGGAGGAGTACTAGGGAGGAGGAGGAGGAGGAGGAGGGGGAGGAGGAGGCAAAGGGTCTTCGCCGCCCAGGCTGGGTCGGAACAGAAGGCATCGCAGGGTCGGGCCTCATCGCCGATGCATCGGCAACACGGCTCGACGGAGCTTGAGTTGTTCTATGCCGACGTCGCCGATGCAGCGCTGACGTATCGCCGATGCGGGACTGTCCTCCACCCCAAGGCGGCCTTCAGGCCTGGAGGCGCGTCGCCGCTTTTGGACTCCCAGAGCCACTCCCTGGCCCCGGGGCCGTCAGCAAAGGGCTCGGGATGAGAAGCCAGTCTCGGGGAAAGCCTCGGGATCCAGAACCCGTTTGGGTCAGGCCGCCCGCCCCGTCATCGTTCCGCTCTGTCCCGACCCCCTCTCGACGACATGCAAGAGCGGCCCGTCGCCAGAGTGGCCTGTGGCGCGGGTCCGCTGGGGTCCACCGATCCGCTGAATGCGATACCATGGCAGCGGCTTGCGCGCTCGGGCCTGCCCCCCCCCTCCTGAGTCCGCGCACGAGGGGTCACTCTTGCCTAGAGTCACGCCTGCGCCTGTAGCCGCTGCCAGCGCCGAAGGCGCCTCCTTCCAAGGATCGCACTTAGAGGCTCGGGTGTTCGAGATGTGTGTTCACCACTGTGGGGCCTGCAGGAGGCTCCTCGTCGACACGTAGGGATTCGCCTCGACATTCTGGCCAGAACGCACCTTCCAGGCTCCGCTCCTTCTCGAAGGAGACCGAAGAACCGCATCATTGTGCACGTTCGGAGATCTGCGCGGACCTCTCGGGTCCGCGCTGGACCCCCCTCTCTGGCGCCGCCTCCAGCGGCGCAGCTCCCTGACGTGCGCCTCGCGCGCCAGGGTAGGGGAGGTCCAGCGCCGACCCACGCATTCCGCGCGGACCTCCGCAAGCTTGTGCTTGTGCCGCTTGCTTGCTTCCTCTGCTTGGCGCTGGCGTCACCCCGCGCCCCCCCCTGAGCTGCCAGGGGCCCGCCGTGGTCTCGGAGAGGAGGTCCCGCCCTCCGCATGTTCCTCCCCTTGGGTTGGCCGCCTCGGCACCCCTCCGTCGCTGCTGAAGGGCCCTCGTCGCAACCGGCGGCGGCCCTCCCCGGCTGTCGTCTGGGGCCTCCTGGAGGCTTCTGGTCGCCACGACCGGATCCGCTTTTGAAAGCAGGCCAGGAGGGACCCGGAGACTGGTTCTGAGCGGAGCTGGGCCGGGCGGGAGGGCCGCCGTTGTCTCCACTGGCCTTCTTCGGACCTCCGTCCGGCTCGGGGGCAACCGTCGGAGATCTGCTGACCCCCGCCCCAGAGGTACTGGTCAGCGACGCTGGTTACGGACAGGAGCGTCTGCTCAGCGTGTCGCGCCGCTGTCTCCGGGTGTCTGGCTGACCACGCCTCGGCGCGACATGGTAAGCACGTCCCGGTCCGTGAGCATCAACGTTCCGAAGATTTCGGGCCTCCCGGGGCTGCTCCGATCGCGGGGCCCACCCCTGTCCACCCCGACAGGTCTTCCGAGCTTCGTCCAGCCGTGGCCACGAGGGCATGGGCCGAAGGCGTAAAGCCCCCCCCCCCCCCCAACGATCCCCAACCTCCCAGAGGGAGGTTCGATTTCCAGTCTGAAAGCGTTTGTCATTTCGTAATGGAGATTTTGTTGTTCGATTCTGGAGGTTCATGGAGACTTCGAGACCTCGAGGGTGCCCTTGGAGGCCCACCAAGCAACCACCGAAAGCGCAGAACGGGGCTCCCTTTGAGAGTGTTTAGCTTGGTGTCCGTCGATCCAGCCTCCAGTGACCAAGGGTAACTGAAACCTTCGATGTCGGAGGTCGCATGAATAAGCAAGAGTCCACCCTGGAGGGGGAAGACGCCTCCAGATTGGCGGTCGGACCTCGACTCCGAGGTCTCCAATCCTGACGCCCCTGGCGCCACCCCTGGCCCGCGGGGGTCAAGAGATCCGCGCGGACCTCCAAAAATGTCGGCTGTCACATGGCGACGCCCAGGTCCACCCCCGGCCAGACAGACCAGGCGGTCGAGAATCATAGAAAACGTCATCACGGAGGCGAGCGGCCCGAAGATCCCGAAGGGCCTCCGCAGGTCCCCCGAAACCCGTCTCGGAAAGCCTCTGGGGGCCCAGGGAGGCTCGAAAACGACCAGCAGGTCCAGCTCCTTCCCCGAACGTCGTCCCCGATCTCTCAAGAATCGGCCCCTGGACCTCTCCTGTGGGGTGCGCTCTGGACGGAGCTTCGAGAGGAACCCTGCAGTGGCAACGGGAAGCCCTTCGGAGGCAGAAAGAGGGCGAAGCATTGCCAAACATTGTGAGTCCACATCATCGACCCTCAAGCCTCGAACCTCGGTCCTCGGACCTCTAACCTCCATTCCATCCCCGATCCTCGAACCACTGGAGCATGGTGTGAGGCTACGGCCCCGAATTCCCCGCCCAACAGGACACGGGCACCTCGAGCATCCGTGACCCCGGCACCGGCGCCGCCTGCTCGCTCGCTCGCTCGAACCTCGAACGACGGCGACGGTCCGTCTGCTGGACCGCGCGGGGTTGCGATGGGGAGTGCGCCGCGCCGGCCTGCAGGGGCTGGTCGCATCCCCGGACGGCAAGAAGATCTTCCGGGTGGAGCGGACAGGACGACTCTGCGCGCGCGGGCGCCACCTCCCCAGAGGATCGAAAGCCTCCGTTCTGGAGGTCGAGCCCCGCACTCTGGAGGAAGAGGGCTTCCAGAACGAGGCAGCAAGAGCGCCTCCAGAATGCAAGCCGAACCTCCTCTTTGGAGGTTTTCAGTCCTCTGGAGAACAAAAGAACCCCTAACCCTAAAAACACGGTGAAGACGTGGCCTCACTTAGCTCCCCGTCCTCGCATGAGGGATAGTCAATCTGGGCGGTTTGGTTCGATACATCTGAGAGGGCGCGCCCACAGCGACCGAGCAAGGGGGGGGCTTGGCTTAAGCTACCCCACCCCCCTCCCTTGAGCCGCCCTTGTTGGACCCCCCTGTTTTCCCAGGGGGGGGAGCTTCCCCCCCTTCCCCCCTCCTGGCCGCCCCAGAAGCTCCCCCCCCCCCTGCTCCCTTTCCAAAGGGAGGGGGATGCTCAGCTCCCCCCGCTCCCCCCCTTGAACCCCCCCTGCTGGAAGCTCCCCCCCCCCCACTCCTTTTTTCCAAAGGAGGGGGGGGCTTGGAAGCTACCCCCCCTCCCCCCCTTTGGCCGCTCCAGAAGCTACCCCCCCCTCCCCCCCTTGGACCCGCCCTGCTGGAAGCTACCCCCCCTCCCCCCTTTTCCAAGGGGGGGCGGGGGCTTGGAAGCCCCCCCACCCCCCCCTTTTCCCATCCAGCTCCCGGAGCACCCGCCCTCCCTTTCGCCGACGATCCAAGATCAACAATCGACGATCGAGGATGGACGATCGACGATCAAGGATCGACGATCGAGAGATTGAATTCCAATCCAATCGATTGCAATCCAATCGATTACAATGCAATCGAATGCAGTCCAATCGATTGCAGCGCAATCGATTGCAATCCATTCCACTGCAATGCCCCTCTCCCCCTCCCGCTCCCTCCCCTACCTCCCCTCCCTCCCCACCCTTCGTTCCCTCCCCTCCCTCCCCTCCCTCTCCTCCCCTCCCTCCCTTCCGTCCTGTCCCTCCCCTGCAATCCAATCGATTGTAATCCAACCGACTGCAATCCAACCGATTGCAGTCCAATCGATTGCAACCCAATCGATTGCAACCGAATCGCTTGCAATCCAATGGATTGTAATCGATTGCAACGCAACTGTACTATTCTACTTGTCCCGTGGCAACGCCCAGGGGGCGACAACATACTACTATGCTATTTTCGTGCCATGAGCAAGGTCGGGAAATCGAAAACCTGACCGGACAAGAACGGGAAGCGTCGCTTTAGTCCACCAAGCATGTGGAAAATGCTCTGTTGTTGTTATGCCGCGCAGGTATGCCGTGGCGCGCGTGTCGGCGTGCGTGCGGGGTGTTTTGCTGTGCTCCTGTGTGTTCTGCCGTGCTCCTGTTCTGCCGTGCTTCTGTGTTCTGCCGTGCCTCTGTGTGCTCTGTGTGTTCTGCCGTGTTCCTGTATCTGCCGTGCGGATCGTCGCGGTGGTCGTTTTGGCAGAGCTTCTGGGCGCACACGGCAGAAAAAGATGAGGAGCACGGCAGAATAGGCCCCAAGAGCGAAGGAGCACGGCAGAGAAAGACAAGGAACACAGCAGAATGGACCCCAAGAGCAAATGAGCACGGCAGAATACACCCCAAAAGCTAAGGAGCACGGCAGAAAATGACCAGGAGCACGGCAGAATAGACCTCAAGAGCTAAGGAGCAGGCAGAAAAGACCAGGAGCACGGCAGATTAGGCCCCAAGAGCGAGGGAGCACAGAATAGACCCCAGGAGCTCAGGAGCAGGGTTGGATATGCCTCAAGTGCGAAGGAGTACGGCAGAGAAAGACCAGGAGCACGGCAGGATAGACCCCAAAAGCTAAGGAGCACGGCAGAGAATGACCAGGAGCACGGCAGAATAGGCCCCAAGAGCGAAGGAGCACGGCAGAAAAAAACAGAAGCACGCCAGAGTAGACCCCGAGAGCTGAAGGAGTGCGGGAAAATAGACCCCAAGAGCGAAGGAGCAAACCAGAAAAAGACGAGGAGCACAGCAGAATAGAACCCAAGAGACAAGGAACACGGCAGAATATGCCCCAAGTGCGAAGGAGCACGGCAGAAAAAAAAGCAGGAGCACGGCAGACAAAGACCAGGAGCACAGCAGAATAGGCCCCATGAGCGAAGGAGCACGTCGGAAACAAACCAGGAGCCTGGCAGAATAGACTCCAAGAGCTGCCGAGCACGGCAGAAAAAGACCAGGAGCACGGCAGAATAGACCCCAAGAGCTAAGGAGCACGGCGTAATAGGCCCCAAGAGCGAAGACGACGCCAGAAAAAGACCAGGAGGACGCCAGAAGATGCCCCAAGAGCTAAGGACGACGGCAGAAAAGACCGAAACACAGCAGAAAGGCCCGAGGAGCCAAGGAGTACGACAGAAAAGACCAGGAGCACGACAGAATAGGCCCGAAGAGCGAAGGAGCAAACCAGAAAAAGACGAGGAGCACGGCAGAATAGAACCCAAGAGACAAGGAGCACGGCAGGAGATGCCCCAAGTGCGAAGAAGCACGGCAGAAAAAAACCAGGAGCACGGCAGAATAGACCCCCAGAGCTCAGGGGCACGGCAGAAAAAGACCAGGACCACGGCAGAATAGACCCCAGAGCTAAGGAGCACGGCAGAAGAAGACCAGGAGCACATCAGAATAGGCCCCATGAGCGAAGGAGCACGGCAGAAAAAAAAAAAAAACAGCACGGCAGAATAGACCCCAAGAGCTGAGGAGCACGGCAGAAGAGGCCCCAAGAGCGAAGGAGCATGACAGAAAAAACAAACAGGAGCACGGCAGAATAGACCCCAAGAGCTGAGGAGCACGGCAGAATAGGCGCCAGGAAAGAAGGAACATTGCAAAACACGATCAGTGACCAGGAGCACGGCAGAATAGACCGCGAGAGCTAAGGAGCACGGCAAGATAGATGCAAGAATACAGCATAATACGCCCCAAGGAAGAAGGAGTATGCAAGAAAAACACAAGGAGCACGGCAGAATAAACCCCGAAAGCGAAGGAGCACGGCAGAATATGCCCCAAGAGCTAAGGAGCACGGCAGAAAACGACCAGGAGCACGGCATCATAAGCCCCAAGAACAAAGGATTGTGACAGAAATTGGCCAGGAGCATGGCAGAATAGGCAAGAAGAGCGAAGGAGCACGGCACAAAAAAGCAAGGAGCATTTCAGAATAGACCCCAAGAACGAAAGAGCACGGCAGAATAGACGTGAAGAACGAATGAGCACTTTTTTCGCCGGCCATGCCCCGCCCGATGTTTTTGAGGATGTATGCAGCGAGAGCGCGATGTTAAACATGAGAGGTATTGAAACCGCCACTCCAAGATATCATTTTTGTTGGGATGTCTCAGGCGAGACGCTAGTTTTTGAACATCTGTCGAACTCGCGGGTTCCCATGTTTAAGGGATGTCTCAGGCGAAACGCTCATTTTTTTATGAAATCGATGTTGTGAACATTTCATTTTTGTAAGGATGTCTCAGGCGAAATCGCCATTTTGGATCGTCTCGAGGGCGCTCCTGGGGGTCAAATTTGGGCTTGTTTGGGGCCTTTGGGGGCCTTCTTGATGCCTTACAAAACCGTTACAGTCCGATCACACATTCATTTTTTCAGGATGTCCCTAGCGAAATCGTAATTTTTAGATGACTGGCTTAAACCATCTAGAAGCCTTTTCAGGAGCGATCCCCAGACGATGTTAAAACAGCAGTTTTCAAAACGATGTTGTTCGATTTGTTATTTGTTTGAAGATGTCCCTAGCGAAATCACTATTTTCAGCAACCTTCAGGACGCTCTTGGGGCCATGTTGTGGCCTTCTTTTGCTTCCTGATGCCCTCCTAAAATCATTACAATGCGATGTCGCACGCATCAATTTTTGAGGATGTCCCTACCGAAATCGGCATTTTTAGAAGGCTGCCTTGGGCCGTCTGGAAGCCTTTTCAGAAGCAAAGTCAAAACTATGTAACAACAACAGTTTTCAAGTCGATGCTGGTGTATGTTTTCACTTTTTGAGGATGTCCCTAGCGAAATCGCTATTTTCGGAAGTCCCCCAATCGTTCTGACAGCCATCTTGACGTGCTTTTTGGCCTCTCATTTCGTCATCTTGAGGTACTTCGAGAACGATATCAAGACGACGTTGAGGACATCTCATTTTGTTGAGGATGTCCCTAGCGAAATGCAAATTTTCTGCCGTGCTCTTCGTTCTGGTCCGCCGTGCTGCCGCTCGTTTTCTGAGGATGTCCCTAGCGAAATCGCAATTCTTAACATAAGAGTTAGTTAAAGACTTCAGTCGTCATTTCAATTTGTTCGAGGATGTCTCGAGCGAAACGCAAATTTTCACAGACGGCGAAATTTCGCTGTCATCAACTTTTCGAGGATGTCTCGAGCGAAACGCTTGTTTTTGTTAAACGCGATGTCGCGAATACTTCATTTTTGTGAGGATGTCTTACATAAAATCGCCATCCCGAGGAATCCGCTAAGCCTGTATAATATGCAGCCCGCCACCCCCTATAGTTAAGAGATCTCTTACTGATACGAGGAGGATTCAGCCAAAACGTCCAGCTCGCTTCTCGTTCCTCGAAGACGCTTCCCGTCATCCGCCGGCCCCCTTGCGGGGCCATCAGGCTGCGAGGCTTAGGTTTGCTGCTCCCTCCGCCAGTTCCAGTTTCCAGTTTCCAATGTTACAGTATTGCCTTCTGCTTCTTACTGTAATTTGTTACTGACCACGCGAGGGCGGGGAGCCGAAAACCAGCTCGGCTAGCGTCCCTGAATCACGTTGTCTGAATTTCTGGAGGGCCGTGGGACACGTGCAAATAGATGAGATTCGCTCTCCCGGCGCAATAATCCCTCGTAAATTATGCTGTGTTCGCGCCCTCGAGGCCAAGATCCTCGTACATTACATTGTTTCCGCGTTCCCGAAGCCACGATCCCATGCAAAATATGTCATATTCACGCACGCTCCTGGGGCCCCCCCGTTCATCCAGGGGGGGGGGGGTCCGGTTCCACCCCCCCCCCCCTCCAAGCGACCACAGAACGCGTTCTCTCTCACTTGTGTATTGGGAAGCCAACAGGCAGGCCGACGAGCTCGCTGGCAAGAGGGCGGAGGAGGCTCAGCTGCCCTACGCTCCGATTGCTGGTGCTGGTCTAGTCCAGGCGGGGACGTTCAAGGTTCGTCGGCACATCGCCGCTGTTTTGTCGGAGTCGGCTCGCTTCCGTTCCCCGCCGCCGCCGCGGTCCCCGAGGGCGGCGCGGCCCAAGGTCCCCGCGGTGATCAGAAGCGCCTTGAAGTTCAATGAAGCCCTGACGGAGTCAGAGCACCAGATGCCTAACCCACATGAGACGTTTTGGCAGTGCCCCCAGTGTGACGGACGCACTGGGAGAACGTTGTGGTCTGATTTCCCTTGGATTCCGTGCCTAAGGAAGCTCTTGGCGGCCCCACCCTCGGCTTTCTCTGGGAGTGGGACCCACGGCTCCCACAGGGTCCAACGAGGAGTGGGGGGGAGTCCCTTTTTTGATGTGCGTGTGGGCAGCATACCGTAGTTAGGGCTGTAAAGGAGGGGCTGGGAAGCTCCTGCAGAATCGGCGCCCTTGGAAAGATAATCACCTCCCGAAGGCGCTACAACATCGCAGCGTTCTTGATGGGGTAGGTGCCCCAGCAGCGAACGCGGCAGGCCGACGGGAGGGTCAGTGCTAAACGAACCCTTTGACCCCCCCTCGGCCCTTTCGGGTCCATGCGAAGGCGATGGAGCCCCTCATGTCCCCTCCCCGCGCGCCCGCGCCCCTCCAGGCAAAAACCTCCTCCTCATCATCCTCTTCCTCCTCATCCTCCTCCTCATCATTATCATCATCATCAGCAGCAGCAGCAGCATCATCATCATCATCATCATCATGTTCATCATCATCATCATCATCATCATCATCATCATCATCATCATCATCATCATCATCATCATCATCAGCATCATCGGCAGCATCATCATCATCCTTCCTCCCTCTCGTCCTCCTCTTCTTCCTCCTCATCCTCATCCTCATCCTCATCCTCATCATCCTCCTCTTCCTCCTCCTCCTCCTCCTCCTCTTTTTCCCTCCTCCACCTCCTCCTCATCCTCCTCCTTCTCCTCCTCCTCATCATCATCCTTCCTCCTTCCTCTCTTTCTCCTCCTCTTCTTCCTCCTCCTCCTCCTCCTCATCCTCCTCATCCTCCTCATCCTCATCGTCATCCTCCTCTTCCTCCCCCTCCTCCTTTTTACTCCTCCTTCTTCGAGAATCCCCCTCTGGACTTCTCCTGGGGTGCGTTCTGTCCAGATTTGCGAGGGGAATGTAATGTAGCCGTGGCGACGTGAAGCCTCATGCAGGTTCAGCGTGGATGAAGAGTGCGCCAAAGCCTCGATCATCGATCCTCATGCCCCTCCTCATCCTCCGCATTCTCCTCCCTCCCCTGGAGCTTCGGCATCGTATCGCATGTGCCCATCGCCCTCCCGGCCCCCGCCCCCCCCTCAGGATCTCCGTCCGACGCCGCCGAGATAGGCCACGATGCGGGCATGGAGGTCCGCAAGGAGGCAGGGGAGAAATTCTTCCAGGACATGCAGGACTACGTGCAGGAGGCATCGCCTCACAGATCCAGAGGATCGAAGACCGATGAATGTTCGACCTCCACTCTGGAGGCGTTTGGTCACAGTGGAGACTCGAGCTCCGTAGTGGAGGTTGTCGATCCTCTGGGGACCAAAAGAAGGCAGCGCAGCGAGGGAGGAAGCGCCAGAGCCGAGGCCAAAGAGGCAGCAATGCCCGAAGCAGAACGACAGAGAGTAGGAGCACACATGTCTGCACCAGCAGGGGCAGCCAGAGGACCAGGAGGAGTTGGGCGAGCAGGAGGAGGGCGATCAGGAGGAGGAGGAGGAGGAGGAGGAGGAGGAGGAGGAGGAAGGGGAGGAGGAGAACGACTTTTCCCCAACGCACGGCCGATTTTGGCAGACTGTGCACAACTAGGCAGAGTCCGATGCCGCCTCTCGCGCACTGATGCGCTGCGCAAGTGCCTGTGCCCCCGAGATCTGGATAAGGCGTGTGCTGGGGGAGGTTCATGTAAAATCTGTTTGAATGCCGCCCTGGACCCTCACCCCAGATGCTTTCAGAGACCCCAAACATGATCGACCCACGAACCCGGAAAGGAATATAGAAATGTAACGCATGGCAACGTTTGCAAAGACACCTGATTGGGTGACGGGCAAGTGCAATGATGATTGTATCGAGCTTGATGTACCGTGCCGAGGGCTGTGCTGTGCTGCACCGTGCTGAATTGCGATGTGCCATGCCGCGGTTGTGCTCTATGGCGTCGTGGATCGAGTCTTCCTTTGCATCCGAGTCCTGACCGAATTGATCTGGATCTTAAGCTCGAGCTGCCTGAACACATAGTTGCTGCCCCAGAGCTAATTGGCAGGGGGACATGCCAGGAGGACGCGCCGCGAAACGTCCCAAGGGACGCGCCAGGCGACGTGCCAGGGGACGTGCCATGGGGTCGCACCGTAGGACGTGCCAAGGGGACGCGCTACGGAACGTGCCAATGGATGTGCCACGGAATGTGCCAGGGGACGCGCCACGCGACGTGCCAGGGGGACTCGCCAAGGGACGCCCCACGGAACATGCCAAGGAACGTGCCAGGTTGCAATGCTGATTGTATCGATCTTGACGTACCGTGCCGAAGTCTGTGCTGTGCTGCACCGTGCTGAATTGCGATGTGCCATGCCGCGGTTGTGCTCTATAGCGTCGTGGATCGAGTCCTCCTTTGCATCCGAGTCCTGACCGAACTGATCTGGATCTTAAGCTCGAGTTGCCTGAACACATAGTACCTGCCGCAGAGCTACTTGGCAGGGGGACATGCCAGGAGGACGCGCCGCGGAACGTCCCAAGGGACGCGCCAGGCGACATGCCAGGGGACGTGCCATGGGGACGCACCGCGGGACGTGCCAAGGGGACGTGCTACGGAACGTGCTGGGGACAAGCGTTTCGCTCGAGACATCTTGTCAAGATCCTCATTCTAGACATCCGCCTGAGCGACCTGGACACGTGAAAACAAACGTTTCGCTCAACACATCCTCAACACATTCTCGTGCTAGACATCCGCCTGGGCGAACTAGACACGTGAAAACAAGTAGTTCGCTCGAGACATCCTCAACACATCTTCATGTGAGACGTCCGCCTGGGTGACCTGGGCACGTGAAAACAAGCGTTTCGCTCGAGACGTTTTCAACACCTCCTCATTCTAGACATCCGCCTTGGCGACCTGTACACGTGAAAGCAAACGTCTCGCTCGAGACATCCTCAACACATCTTCATGTTAGACATCCGCCTGGGCGACCTGGACACGTGAAAACAAGCGTATCTCTCGAGACATTCTCAACACATCCTCATGCTAGGCATCCGCCTGGGCAACCTGGACACGTGCAAACAAGCATCTCGATCGAGACTTCCTCAACACCTCCTCATTCTAGACATCCGCCTGGGCGACGAGGACGCGTGAAACCAAGCGTCTCGCTCGAGACATCCTCAACAAATCCTGGCGCTTGACCTCTGCCTGGGCAACCTGGAGGCGTGAAACCAAGCGTCTCGCTCGAGACATCCTCAAGACCTGGGCACGTGAAACCAAGCATTTCACTTGAGAGATCCTCTAAATTCTGGTACCCAGGGGAGGACAATCTATAACACAAAACAAGCGTTTCGCTCGAGACATCCTCAACAAATTCTGAAAAACAAGCGTTTCGCTAGGGACATCCTGAAATTTTGATTTGCTGGCCCTCTTCCCACTCGTTATTTATCGCAAAAGAAATCCGCCGGCCCTCTTCCCGTCAAAACCGGGGGGGAACCTCTAAAAGAGAACCCTGGGCCTGAAGCCCTTTCCGGGAAGAAGGCCAAAGACAGAACACGCGATCATTTACGAAATTGGAGTGGCCCACAAAACCAAGCCGCTCCTGTCAAGTTCCTCAGAAAGTTGCCGATCGGCAATTACGAACGCATGCCGCACAATTTCACAACAATTATTTTGATTGGGCGGTGCGGGCATGGGCGCAGGGGATGCAGCTGGCTATACGTTGTGGTTTAGTTGGCCTCAGCGGAAGATTTTTGAGCGGACGGTGGTGACGAGGAGCCTTCTGGAAGCTTAAACAGTGCGAAACACGCAGAAACAGCTCCCGCTCCTGTCCCTGCTCTTCACGATTGTGTACTCCTGCTCTGAGCCTCAACCAGCCGATATGAACCACATCGGATCCATCTTGGTTGTTAAGGACAGTGCAACATCAGTGCTTTTCGTGTCAACCTGGGCGTTCTGTCGTCGCCGCTGCCAGAATGCGTGCGTGGCAGGAACGGGGCGCTGCGCACATCGTGCCCCAGCGCTTTTGTCGACGGCGCTGCCAAGAGACAAGCGGCAGGGGAATGGGGCGGCTCGCACGCCGGGCCTTGGACATGGTCGCCGGCGATACAGAGTTCGACTACACGTAAGAGTGACCTTTCGCCGGTGTGGCGCTTGGTGCGGGCCCAACGGGGTCCCCCGATCGCCGAACGCGACGAGGTATTGGCGTCTGGCGCGCTTGTGTTTGGTCCCCTCGCGGCTCCCATTGAGCTGCGCACCAAAGGTCACTCTTGCCCAGGGTCACTCCTACGTGTAGTCGAAGAGTGCGCGGCGGGAGTGGGGCGCGGCGCACGTCGCGTCCTGGATGCTGTCGTCGGCGGTGCAAAAAAAAGCGCGGCAGGAATGGACGCGGTGCACATCGCGCCTCGGATTTTGTCGTCGGCGATGCAAAATGCGCGGCAGGAATGGGACGCGGCGCGCATCGCGGCCTGCGCTGCTTGCCGACGAAGCAAAATGCGTGGCAGGAACGGGACGCGATGCACATCGCGTCCCGGCCTTCGCTCGTCGCGCGCTGAATTTCTTCTTGTCGGCGCGGCAATGAAAAAATCACCTGCCAGGAAGCGGGCGCGGAGCGTCCCACGCACGGGACTTCCTGCCGTCGGCGGTGCAAAATGTGTGGCAGAAGGTTGGCGCGGCGCACGTCGCGAGAGGGCCGCGTGCGCCAGGCCCTCCAGAGGCTCTCGGAACGCCGACATCCGATCGAGCGTGGAGGCTCGGTCGCCCAGCGCTTCTGGGCCCCGGAGGCTGTTGTCGGGCTCCCTGTGGCCTCGGGCACCGTTTTGTTCTGGTCTCCGAGGCGTAGGTGGATTGGACATCGAACGTTCCAGTTCGATCGAACATCCAATTTCCAGTCTAGCTTTCTGTTTGCGCCAGAAGCGGTTCTTGTGTTGCGGGAGGGCGGGTGGGACTCGGCGGGACCCGCTGATCCGTTCGAGCTGGCTAGCTAGACTCCCCCCCCCTCTCTCACTCCCTCCCTCCCGTCCGCCTCCCTTCTCCTCTTCCACGCCGAGCCCCTCAGACACTGGAGCGGCCGCCAACCTCGGTTGGAGGAGGGGTGGAAGGAGAGAACGGAGAGAGGAGGAGGAGGAGGAGGAGGAGGAGGAGGAGGAGGAGGAGGAGGAAGAGGAGGAGGAGGAGGAGGAGGAGGAGGAGGAGCAGGGCGGAGAGGAGGAGATGGAGAAGAGGAGGATGTAGGGAGGAGGAGCAGATTCCATAGCCTACCCCTCATTACACAGCCTCGCTCTCATACTGCAGCCTCTGCCTCAATTTTCAGGCTTCCCCCCCATTTCGTCTCAGAGCCTCCTCATTCTTAGCCTCATCCTTAATCCTCAGCCTCCTCATTCCTCGACCTTTTCGGCATTCTTCTTCTTCCTCCTCCTCCTCCTCCTCCTCCTCCTCCTCCTCCTCCTCCATCAGCTTCTGCTTATCCCTCAGCCTTCTCCCGATTTCTCTGCAGCTTCCTGCATCGTCGGCATCCTCCAGGACGAAGTCGGAGCGGACGTGGCCGCCGTCCGTGGGCCCCTCCAGAGAGGCTGCCAGTGGCCCCCCCCCGCCAGACTGGCGGGGGGAGCCACTGGCAGCCCGCCGGGGGCCTCGAGGCCGCGTGAGGCGCCGTGGTTCCACTGGTCTCCGTCTTGTCCCCTGCTTTGCCGCCCTCCTTGCTGCCACCGTCATCGGGGGTTCGCGTTGGCGCCGAAGTTTTCTCCTCGTCCTTGCCTTTCGTAGCGTTTTTTGCGTGGCCTTTCGCGTCGGGTCGTGTTCCCAGTGGCCCGCGTTTGTTTTGAGTTGCTCGGCGCGTGTTGCTCGTCGTCGTGGGGTGTGCGATCTGTATGATCTGAACAGTACTTGGTGCGCGCTGCGAATTGCTGGCGGTCGCGGTGCTGGCGCGGGTGTTCTTGCTGGCGTCGTCGCCCCAGTTGCAAACGCGGCTGTGTCTCTCTGCTTGCGCAACAACGAACGGTTGTGACCGACATGCCTGACATCTTGATTACCGGCGCGATAGATCCTCTGCTAGCCAATTGTTTGGGGTAGCCAGCCAGTCTCCGCGCACTGCTGTCCCCTCTGCGATGCCTGCGCCCTGGTGAGCTGTTTAGCCATCGGATTAACGCTGGCGCGCTGCTGTTTTGGCCGAGCTCATGTCGTTGAGCGCGTTACGTCGCGGCGGAAAAGGAATCGCCCAATAGTGTGCGCAACATGTATTCCTTCGTTTGGTGGGTTATTCCAGCCTTCTTACGATTGCGCCAGACGTTTTTGCATGAATGCCACCGGTATGTGGAAAAGCAGGCTCAACACGAACAAACTCAACAAAATGAGGTGTCGCCCTTCTGGAGTTCTTTTTGGAGCAAAGCTTCCGGACTGTTTGAGCTTACTGCGAGCCGCACGTACCGCTTGCGATAACAGTGCCGCCGCTTCGATCTGATGAGCAGTAACAAGCATCCAGGACCCATCGGCGCTATTTTTTGTGGGCTCATTTGATACCAATTCCATTATCCCCTTCCCCGCGGCCTCCTGTTCGCTCCTCCTTCTCCACTCTTTCAGGGCTTGGCGAATATTCTCCATCCGACCTGCGCGGGGAACCCAGAGAATTTGATGCAAATCGACCAACAAAGATCAGTTCAGGTAGGTCCAGAGATGAGTTCAGGTAGATCCAGGGATGTCCAGACATCTGGACGGCTTGTGACAGGTCCAGCGCGACTCGAGGGAAAGCAGATGCCCCCAAGCCCTTCACGATCCACTCTCCTTGCCTCTCCCCCTCACCAGCGACATCAACGACACCGACTTTCACCCCCTTATTGCCACGATGAGGAAGACTTGTATTCATTCGTGTTTCGTTGTCGTCCCTCGAAACTTGGATGGGCGTGTGGACGACCAGCGCGAGGATGCATGAGGAAGTTGTTCACCAGTGCCTGCTTGACTGCACAGCGACGGACGACTGGACTCACTACGCCGACTGCCTGCCTTTGAGGTCTACTGAGTGCTCCACGCTGGGCGCGCCCCCGCCCGCTGGGAGATTCGCGTGCGTGGGCCCTCATGCCAGGCGGCCTGAAGACCTCCACCCAGTCTTAAGATCCTTCGAAGCCGACCTCAAGTTGGAACACGGACAGATCCAAGAAGTTCTGCACGCACGTAAACAGCAGTATTATCAAGTACTCCACGCTCTGACGGCCCGCCTGGCGATGGCAGTTGCGCGTCTAGTTCAGCAAACACCCGGCTGCCCGCAGTCGGTACGGGCACCACCACCACCACCACCATCATCATCATAATCATCATCATCATCATCAGCAGCAGCAGCAGCAGCAGCAGCAGCATCTTCACCATCATCATCACCACCATCGTCAGCATGATCAACATCATCAGCATCAGCATCATCATCATCATCATCATCATCAGCAGCATCGTCATCACGGTTCTGATCATCATCATCATCGTCGTCATATTATGATGGTGTCTCATCCTCGTTCTCTTCCTCCTCCTCCTCCTCCTCTTCCTCATCATCATCATCATCATCATCATCATCATCATCATCATCGTCTTCGTCATCTTCCTCATCCTCCTCCTCCTCCTCCTCCTCGTCCTGCTACTCCTCCCCCTGCACGCTCAGCTTTCAGTCGGGGAGCGCCTCGCTCACTCACCCACTCTTCCTCATCCTCCTCATCCTCCTGTGGCGGCGACATTCGACCTGTGTGGCCTCATGCTGCTCCTCGCCTGAAGACGACGACGACGACGACGACGACGACGACGACGACGACGACGACGACGACCCCTCCCCTCGATCTGGGTTCCATGAGCCCGCCGCCCCGACGAGCCTCGAGGTGCAGGCGGCCAATTCGAAGCCGACCAAGGTGAAGGCCTGAGCTCCCGCGGCTGCGGCGCAGCTGCGGCGGGCCAGGCCTGGGGCGACGCGGCTTCGCAGCCCCTCGCCCCGCGCCTGGCGGCCCGCCTCTCGCGCGATCCCGACCCGCGCGCCATCCTCCTCCTCGCTCCCTGTCCTCATGGCTCCTCGCTCGCTCGCCCGAGCTGGGGGAAGAATACGGAAAGGGAGCTCCTCATCCTCCCATCCCCAGTCCTCATGAGCACGTATAGCAAGAATGTTTGAAGGGATGGGTTCAGGCTTCGGTTTGCGATTGGCGTCGGATCATCAGAGGGTCCTCCTGGGACTTCTGGGTCTCTTGGATGCCGAGGATGTCCCTGTGTGGCCTAGCCAGCGGGCCCAAAGTAGTCAGGAGGGTGGTCAAACGGCCTCGCGAAAGCGCCCAAGACACCCTCCAGACGCCCGAAGACCCAACCCCCCAAGAGGCCCTCCAAACGCAAAAAGCATTGATCTTGCTATTATCGTATGAGTAAATCTGCTCCTCTCCGCACCACCATCCCGGTGCTCGTGCCACCGTTACTTTTGTACGGATTGGTTATCTGCAGCCATTCAGATCCGAGAGGTATAGGAAGTAGGAGCGAGCTGGCTTGCGCGTGCGCCGAGGGGTCGTCCCCTCATCGTCGTCGGGTCGTCGGCCGGCCGGCCTCCTCCCTACCACACATATCTCTCTTATCCGCTTGACGGAACATTCCTTCCAAGCCATGGCCTTGTGGGAGCCCCCTGAGCTTTCCTCACGAAGCCTACCTTCGGGGGAAAGGGAGACTACATCGGAACAGATTACAGGGATAGCCATTATCCAGGCAATAAGCTGGTTATCAGCCGAAACGACGGCTCAGCCTTCGGCTTCGCTGGGCCTAGAACCAAAGGGAGGACCGTTCGGAGAAATGGAACAACAATTTGTCCCGAGCGTATAACTAAGGACGGCGCCCCAGGGGGGCGGCCTCCTCCTCTCAATCTTCCCAGAAGGCAAGCATCGGAGTCGGTGTTCGATTTAACAGAGGGGGATTCCTGTATAGATCACCAGCTAAAAGAAAGAGTTCAAACGCCAGGCACGGGGCATGGTTCAGCCAGTGCTACCCGCAGAAGGCCATCAGAGATCGTATCAGCGCACTCAACCCCGATCATATCAGTTCATACACGTTACGATGAAAAGAGCCCGCCGAGAAATGCTCCCACCGGCTCAGCAGGTGGAGACCGCTCCATCAACGGGCAAATCACACAGTTCGTAATGAACGGTCAGGATGGAGAAGAAAACGACGGGCAGTCGGAGGAAGAGAGTCTGCATTCAATGGAAAGGAATGAGGCATGCGCTCTTACATGTGTCCTGGACCATCGTATCGCCCGAGTCCTCTTCAGAACTCGCCCGATGGCTACGTCTCAGGCGGAGGCCTATCGGATGCCGAAACGATTGATTACGAACCAGCTGAAGCCTTCCGAAGGGCTGTCCTTGATTCCGATGAAGACTTTGAGGACGGAAGGACCCCGGGAACGGGCCGCGGGGCCGTGGAAGAGGGAGTTCCTCGGTTCAACCGGCGGAGCATTCACCCGACGCCGCGCGTCCGGCTCGACGCGCAAGGGGACCTACTGGTGTGACCCCACTGCCGAAGACAAAGAAATCAAGATCGAAACTGATGATCAAAATCCTCCACCGTTGTCGGAAGGATTCGATCGACAAAACCTTGGTGCGGCAGCATGACAACCAATTGAAGGCCACGTGCCAGCGAGACTGGGCCACGACAGTGTACCAGAGCTTAATGAATTTACCACGCAAGATGAAAAGGACGAACAAAGAGGAAAGCCACAAGGCACTCAACGGAACGCGGGGTCGAGAATGAGGGAGCAGAACACGCCGACATCGAGCGAGGGGCGGGGAAAGGCCCTGAGAGCGGGACGTTCAAGCTCCAGAAGATTTGACGCCCTTGCGCCCCCTCGTCCGTCGTCGACTCGGACTGCGATCAGTTTCTCTATCCAGGAAACTCGCTGGAACGCGGGCCCGGGATGCCCGCCCCAGGCGGAGAACCGCTGCCCGGGAGAAGCGCGCGAACCGGGGGGGCCTCGCTGCCGACCTGCATGCGCTCAGTGAGTGTTTTCAAGTCTATCAGAGAGTGGGGGACAAGATAGAGTGCAGATAAGGGTAGCAAGTGCACAAATGCAGCAGATCCTTCTTCAGGCGCAAGTGGATAAGACGGCCATTGAAGAAGCCAACCGCCGGCTCGCTGAACCCGAAGCAGAAGCGAGGGCAACGGCGCGCCAAGTCGAGCAAGAAAAGGCCGCCACTGCAGAAGATGCCCAGAGACGCATGCTACAGGCGGAGGCAGACATTGCTGGGATTGCGCGCGTGGCTCAGCGGCGTCTCGCGCAAGAGGAGGAAGAAAAGCGAAGGATTCAGGGGGCGGCCGGACACGCGATCTCATCGTCGCAACGCCAGGCCGAAAAAGAGCGCGTTGAATCTCAAATTGTAGCAGACGCTGCCAGACGGGAAGGAGAGAGAGAGAGAGAGAGAGAGAGAGAGAGAGAGAGAGAGAGAGAGAGAGAGAGAGAGTGGCCCGAGAGCAGGCAGCACAAGAAAACAAGCAGCTCCGTGACCAACGCGATGTTGCCAGGCTCGAGGCTGGAAAGATAAAGCTAGAGGCGGCGCGTGCACTCCACGAGCAGGACCAGCAGGCCCACGCCCCAAGGAAGGATGACCAAAGGCGAATGGCAGAGGCCTGGGATCACGCAATAGGGTGTGCAGATGAGCAGATCAAGAACGATGCACTCCTCATCCGAGACGTAAGTGAAGAAAACAGAAGGCTCAAATCTGACTTAGAACAACGTAAGAGGGCGAGAGAGTCCCTGGAGAAGATTAAGATGACGAAGCAGCCCAGCGCGGCTGCCAAGGGGACTAGTCTGACAGCTCCGGCCCAGCCGGGAGGTGTTAGATCGCAAGAGAGTGCAAACTCAACACCGGCTGAGCCGAAATACATTGGGCCTCCCCCTAGTCCGATTGTTGCTCGCCCCGCCTGGGCGAGAGCGGCTCGGCCGCACCGACATCGGGTGGGCGCGCCAGATGAGCCCTGTCATGTATGCTCAAAGCCTGAGCTTGGGATGTGGATGGTGCGGAAAAACCCACCCGTGGAGAACATCTTGACGAAGGGGCCAAGAGGTGCTCTGAATGCGCCAGAAGCAAGGAGTCCAGGGAACAAGGTGATCCAGCAATAAAAGCAGAGCAATGAAGCGTAATAGAAGGCATCTACCGCAACGAGACCGAAGCAAGGAACATGGCGGAACAGGCAGATGGGATGGCGCGGAAACACCCTGAACGGTCGGAAGAATTCTTTCGAAGACGCTAGTTGCAGATGCATGGGCTGGAATATCACAGAGCAGAGTTGGCCGCCATCGAGCAATGCATAGCTGCCGCTACAGCAAATCAAGACACGTTGCAGATGTCAAAAGGGCGCGCGTGACAGAAAGAAGCCTTGTTGGAACGGAGGTCAGCGGCATGACTATGGCCATGGGCGTGCCATCCTTTCAGACCATATAGTCGAATCTCGACCGGATGCCTTCGTTTATGGCGCCGCATGAACCTTGGATTCCTCTTTCGAGCTCGCGATTTACGCCAGGGCCAGCAGTGGAGAAATCGCTCGGCCCTACTGAGGGATCGCCCACGGCGAATGTCTCAGGATCGAACCCTTGGAATGCCCCATTTAACACCAAGCTTTCAGGATCTCCTGATAACTGCGACCTGCCCGGCCACCCCCCCCTTCACCAGCGGCTCAGCCGCGTCCGGCGGGGGCGGGGGCGGGCGTGGAGGCGACGACGGTGACCAAAGGGATGACGAAGTAGAGTATTGAGCTCAGCACCGGGACGCTCGTGGCACCACAATTCGATGACGGGGGAGCCCGAGCCCCCAGGTGAGCCCCCAGGGGGACCCGGCGGTGGCGGAGACCCGGGCGGAGGCGGCGGTCGCAGGCCCAGTGGTTCTAACGGCCCCATGCTGCAACCATGCATTGCCAACCCAATGGGTCCCAAGTGTAGGACTTCCGGAAGCGTCAAGGAGCTTAACCTTATGGACATTCCCAGCGTCCAGACCTTACAAGAATGGAAACGAGGGCGGTTGTTGGAGCTAGGCGCGACGTCAAGGCAGCGCAATTGCGGATCATGGAAGCCATGGATCCACAAACCGAAAGGGAGAATCTCCAGACAGCCGGGGCTTTCTTGCGCCTCGATATCATGATAGCTACGAATATGCTTGAGAAGTTTGCCAAGATGAAACGTAGTCGCAATCTCTCAGTTCAACATGCTCATTCCCCTGCGCTGATCACCCGCGTGGAGCACTCGTGTCCGACTGAGCAACGCCTTCTGGCGGGTCGCGAAATGATATGTGCCATCTGTGTCTGGTGCTCAGTCAGATCGGAAAACGGCCAGCACTGGATACGCCGTGATCTCCACAAGATTACAATCGACCGCCAAAAGCCCAATTGGGGCTTATATTTGTTCTACAACGAATGGATGGAGCGTCGCTAAGAGCTGTGCGGCGCTAGAGAACCTTCGGACGAGATGAAGGCGTCGATTCATGCGCATTTCTACGAACAGGTCCGGCATGTCCCGAGATTAGAAGGGGTCACGCAGTGGTATGAAATTTCGACTGACCCTCATGGGACGGGAATGCTTTCTTAATGGCTTGTGTGGCAGGTTGAGTTGGTCATGATGCGGGGTCGCGAGAAGTGGGTCATTTCCGAACACGAATCGAACCTGAACTCCAGAAATAGACAAGCCCGCCTCGGTGGCGGGGCAAACGAGGGCAGCGGAGGTGGCAGACGAGCTTCCGCGATGGCGGCGGCAGCGCATAGGCTTGGCCTACCGACTGGTAAGACAGCGAGCGGACGCACTAAAGGAAGGTGAGACGACCTGCAGGCACGACAAACAAGGAACGTACTGCCCCGAGGCGGGGCAGGGTTGCCTTTGCAACCACAAGAGGCCCAAGGTGCCAGCTGCCCCGGCCCAGTCGGCGGCAGGCGGACACAACGAGCCAGCCGGCGCCGAGAATCATCGGGGAGGCAGGAGCGAGAAACCGAGAACCAGAGGTGCAAACGGAAAAGATCGGCTTCGCTCTTCACTCTTCGACTCCGTCGAACAAGTTTGG